ATCTATTTCCATTTTCCAGCCTCATAACATTCAGTTATTCCTCAAGACTCAGTTCATCAAACAATCATTTCATGGAAGATTTTGTTGGCTCCCTATTCAGTACTTAAAATTTGCTATTATTTAGGAACCCCCCTAATTTCCGAAAGAAATTAATCAATTCAAAGTCATTCCATCTTCCAAGGATTTTTAAAATTTTTTTGTTATTATTAATATTTTCCAAGACCCAAGAAGTCATTTTGACATCCACAGAGATGACCCACTTGTGCCCAAATTGCTCTCAGATGCTTTTCCCTCACTTAGCCTTAATTATATACTAGGTCATAGGGAAAGTCATGACGTGTTTTACTATGCAAAAATGCACCATGGCTTTCCCAAGGACCCAATATATTCCCCGCACTAATTAAATATAGAAACATGATCTCTATCTATTAAGTTTCCAAGATCTTATTCCTGAGATGCCTTTTCTCTGTTTCCGTCATCTCATAAGTGATATTATCAGTTCTCATATATTCATATGCTATCAATTAGCACATTTGTATCTCTAACTCAAACAGGCTTTTGGGTTAATCCAAAACAGGCTTTTGGCATTTATCCAACTGCAAATTTTGCATCTCAATTAAATGGCATGTATCACTTCATATTTAACTAGGTCAAACCCAAATTCTTTAGCTTCCTCTACATCTGTTCTTCCCTTAGTTTTTCACATCTTCTTAATGTCACTGTAATTCATCTAGCTATTCAGTCCATATATTTAGCAGTTATTATTGATAACTGTGTATCTTTAACCACTCTTATCTGGTCCTTTACCCATCCTGACAATTCCATCTTCAAAAGAGAACTGAAATCTATTTCTCATCACTTAATCTGTCACCACCCTGTACAAGGAAGCATCATATCTTCATTAGACTTTTACAACAACTTCAGAACTGGACCCAATGCTTTTAGTCTCACAGTAGAAACGGTAATTTTAATTTAATTTAATAAAATATATATGTATATAAATATAAATATATATTTATTATAAATATAAACATTTATATATATTTATTATAAATATAGATATTTATTTCCATATATTTATTTATTTATTTATTTATTTATTTATTTTGCTATAGGGTGCATGCGCTTGCTTAGAAAAGGAGAGAGACAGAAATCGAGAAATTATTCCCCAGGAGGATGGCTATGCTGCAATCCCTTCTCCTTCATTCTTCTCTTGGGATTTTGGGCATGCACACACATGCTTGGCGTTAGTTTTCTTTTTTTTTTTTCTTTCTTTCTTTTTTCTCTCTCTCTTTTTTTTGGAGAGGTTTTTTTTGCTATAGGGCGTGTACCCTCACCAGACAGAGAGAGACAGAGAGATAGAAAGCGAGAAATCACCCCCAGGGGGGATAGCCATACCACAATCCCTTCTCCTCCATTTTCCTCTCTGGATCTTGGGCACGCACACACACGTGCCCGGAGTGAGTTTTAAGCCACCGGGTCTGGGACATGAACTGTGGTGGATTACATGGGAGTCCAGCTACATAGCCATTACGCTAACTGCTGGTCCCCCTGGCGTTAGTTTTAAACTGTCAGGTCTGGGACTTGAACAGCAGTCAACTTCGTGGGAGTTCAGGGGTGTAACCATTATGCCATATGCAGGTCCTGACTTTTAAATGTAGTCAAGATCTTCTTGTTCTACACTTAAAGATCTCTCCATAGATTCCCACATACTGCAATTGAAAAATAATTAAAAACTAAAATCCAAGACTGGCTCTATGGCTCTCTTAAGGGAGCAAACTCCCACTTGGCTGATCCTGGCTCTAGTGGTTTGCAAAACACACTGGGTGGGTGTGCATGTGTGTCTCAAATCCTGTCAGGGTGGAGAAATGGAGGAGAGAAGGTTGTGGCATGGCCATGCCCTTTGGGGATGCATTTCCCTCTTCCTCTCTCTATCTTCTGTCTCTCTCTAGCAAGTGCACATGACCTTTGGGCAGG